GATCAAATACTTTTTTCCCTCACTGTACCTATCCAGACCCTTCAGAAAAATCTAAGGGTTAAGTCAGGGCCAAGGAGGAGGGGTAGGGAGTGAATTTGGACCAGCAAATAATGTATACGTGCCACCTAAGAGTTTCAATACCAATCATGTCTGTGTGTATTCATTCAGGTTGAAGTTCACAGTGGAAGAGAAGCAGGGGTCCATTGTGACCATGGAGGAGGACACTGGCACTGCAGAGTGCCAGAAAAGAAAGAAACCGAATAAGTGCAAAGGTACATGGACCTATCTTTCATTTGTCACTGACTATTTTCTTTGTCTCCACTGTACACAATGTGAGTCTGGGCTGTCATCTCTATGGTACAGCACGGTTATCTTAGTTGTTTATTAATGTACCAGCAATGACAGTGAAAGTCGACTAAGTTATCAACAGCGTGTATTGCTATGTTTGAGGCAACGATTAAAACACATTACCATTCTATCATGTGTAAAAAATAAAATGAATGATGACTGAAATCAAATTAAACCTTTTTTTCATATTTCAGAATGCAAGGATAGGAACTCTGTAAGAACAGTTAGAACGGAATCTAAGAGAAGAACAGGGAAGGAACAGGGAAGGAACAGGGAACGGAAGAACAGTTATGACATTGATGTTATTATGCAATAAACAGCTAAAACTGGTGAAATTGTTAGATTTTCTGTAAACAGTAACAATATATGTCACCTCTATTTGACCTGCACCTAGTTATTTTCAAGGAAGTACAGTCAGTATAGTCAATTCCATCATCAATTGAGTAAATGTGTGAAATTAGTAAAAGGTGTTGTAAATTACACAAAACTACAAAGCAAGTGATTTCAAATACTAACATTTTTTAAATTCTGTTCATAAAGGGGCAGAGAGAAGATTGAATCAGTTGGAAGCCATGCTCCTGGTAAGTAGGCTGCTATGCTAGAGTCTTGTCACTATTACTATCTATTGGGACATATGCAGTGCTTTACTTGGGGGGTTGGGGCTCACCGGAGCTGAGTACTGGCACCTCAGATTTACTACTGCTTGAGGTCCTGTTCCTCTTATGGAATATCTTATTGTGGACTTCCTGCACCTACAGTTGAAGTTGGAAGTTTACATACACTTAGGTTGGTGTCATTAAAACTCGTTTTTCAACCACTCCACAAATGTATTGTTAACAAACTATGGTTTTGGCAAGTCGGTTAGGACATCTACTTTGCGCATGACACAAGTCATTTTTCCAACAATTGTTTGCAGACAGATTATTTCACTGTATCACAATTCCAGTGGGTCAGAGGTTTACATACACTAAGTTCACTGTGCCTTTAAACAGCTTGGAACGTTCCAGAAAATGATGTCATGGCTTTAGAAGCTTCTGATAGGCTAATTGACATCATTTGAGTGAACTGGAGGTGTACCTGTGGATGTATTTCAAGGCCTACCTTCAAACTCAGTGCCTCTTTGCTTGACATCATGGGAAAATCAAAACAAATCAGCCATGACCTCAGAAAAAACACTGTAGACCTCCACAAGTCTGGTTAATCCTTGGAAGCAATTTCCAAACACCTGAAGGTACCACGTTCATCTGTACAAACAATAGTACGCAAGTATAAACACCATGGGACCACGCAGCCGTCATACCGCTCAGGAAGGAAACACGTTCTGTCTCCTAGAGATGAACATACTTTGGTGAGAAAAGTGCAAATCAATCCCAGAACAACAGCAAAGGACCTTGTGAAGATGCTGGAGGAAACAGGTACAAAAGTATCTATATCCACAGTAAAACGAGTCCTATATCGACATAACCTGAAAGGCCGCTCAGCAAGGAAGAAGCCACTGCTCCAAAACCGCCATAAAAAAGCCAGACTACGGTTTGCAACTGCACATGGGGACAAAGGTCGTACTTTTTGGAGAAATGTCCTCTGGTCTGATGAAACAAAAATAGAACTGTTTGGCCATAATGACCATTGTTATGTTTGGAGGAAAAAGGGGGTAACTTGCAAGCCGAAGAACAACATCCCAACCGTGAAACACGGGGGTGGCAGCATCATGCTGTGGGGGTGCTTTGCTGCAGGAGGGACTGGTGCACTTCACAAAATAGATGGCATCACGAGGAAGGAAAATTATGTGGATATATTGAAGCAACATCTCAAGACATCAGTCAGGAAGTTAAAGCTTGGTTGCAAATGGGTCTTCCAAATGAACAATGACCCCAAGCATATATCCAAAGTGTTGGCAAAATGGCTTAAGGACAACAAAGTCAAGGTATTGGAGTGATCATCACAAAGCCCTGACCTCAATCCTATAGAAAATGTGTGGGCAGAACTGAAAAGGTGTTTGTGAGCAAGGAGGCCTACAAACCTGACTCAGTTACACCAGCTCTGTCAGGAGAAATTGGCCAAAATTCACCCAACTTATTGTGGGAAGCTTGTGGAAGGCTACCTGAAAAGTTTGACCCAAGTTAAACAATTTAAAGGCAACGCTACCAAGTACTAATTGAGTGTATGTAAACTTCTGACCCACTGAGGAAAGAAATAATTCTCTCTACTATTATTCTGACATTTCACATTCTTACATTTTTTAAATTTATTTATTTATTTCACCTTTATTTAACCAGGTAAGCCAGTTGAGAACAGGTTCTCATTTACAACTGCGACCTGGCCAAGATAAAGCAAAGTAGTGCAATAAAAAACAACACAGAGTTACATATGGGGTAAAAAACATAAAGTCAGAAATACAACAGAAAATATATATACAGTGTGTGCAAATGTAGCAAGTTATGGAGGTAAGGCAATAAATAGGCTATAGTGCAGAATAATTACAATAGTATTAACACTGGAATGCTAGATGTGTAAGAGATTATGTGCAAATAGAGATACTGGGGTGCAAAAGAGCAAAATAAATAACAATATAGGGATGAGGTAGTTGGGTAGGCTAATTTCAGATGGGCTGTGTACAGGTGCAGTGATCGGTAAGGTGCTCTGACAACTGATGCTTAAAGTTATTGAGGGAGATAAGAGTCTCCAGCTTCAGAGATTTTTGCAATTAGTTCCAGTCATTGGCAGCAGAGAACTGGAAGGAATGGCGGCCAAAGGAGGTGTTGGCTTTGGGAATGACCAGTGAGATATACCTGCTGGAGCGCAGACTACGGGTGGGTGCTGCTATGGTGACCAATGAGCTAAGATAAGGCGGGGATTTGCCTAGCAGTGATTTATAGATGGCCTGGAGCCAGTGGGTTTGACGACGAACATGTAGTGAGGACCAGCCAACAAGAGCGTACAGGTCACAGTGGTGGGTAGTGTATGGGGCTTTGGAGACAAAACGGATGGCACTGTGATAGACTACATCCAATTTGCTAAAATAAAGTGGTGATCCTAACTGACCTAAGACAGGGAATTTTTACTAGGATTAAATGTAAGGAATTGTGAAACACTGAGTTTAAATGTATTTGGCTAAGGTGTATGTAAACTTCCGACTTCAACTGTACATATAAACAGTACCGGCACCCAAAATGAGTACTGGCACCTATTTTTGTCCAAATCAAGCACTGTACCTAGGTCCACGATTAGATTCTTGCTGAATCCCAAATTAGTCTCTTTCCCTCACCCCTCCATTTGTGCATTCACGCGCACCTCTGCCAAATGCACAAGTGTCCCAAAACAGAGAAGTATGTAAGTTACAGTGGAGAAAAAAAGTATTTAGTCAGCCACCAATTGTGCAAGTTCTCCCACTTAAAAAGATGAGAGAGGCCTGTCATTTTCATCATAGGTACATGTCAACTATGACAGACAAAATGAGAGAAAAAAATCCAGAAAATCACATTGTAGGATTTTTAATGAATTTATTTGCAAATTATGGTGGAAAATAAGTATTTGGACAATAACAAAAGTTTCTCAATACTTTGTTATATACCCTTTGTTGGCAATGACACAGGTCAAACGTTTTCTGTAAGTCTTCACAAGGGTTTCACACACTGTTGCTGGTATTTTGGCCCATTCCTCCATGCAGATCTCCTCTAGAGCAGTGATGTTTTGGGGCTGTCGCTGGGCAACACAGACTTTCAACTCCCTCCAAAGATTTTCTATGGGGTTGAGATCTGGAGTTTTATCACCTGTGTAGTTATGTAATCATATTTCTATGGGACACACACAGGCCATAAATAAACTAGCTACGCCATCAAAGATCTAATTAAAAGGCAAAATACTTTATTCTGTTATATGTTATGTATTTTATGCAGAGTTATTGTTTATTTTAAATTGGGTGCGGTATTTAAAAAACAAACACAGAACGTACGGTCAGTTCCGGTACAAATGATAAAACGTCAGTTCCGGTACTACGGAATCATGGGTGATTGTGTTTCACAGTCCGTCACTCACTGCCAGACACATTTAAATCATGAAATAAATTCCTAAATAATTCGCTAAAAAGTATTTCCATATGCTTACACGATTTATATTATTGATTGTCTTTTTACATAATTAATAACGGCGAGCAGCTAGCTAAAAAGGCCCAATGTTCACTGGGGTGGCAACCGGCGTGAACCAAAAAGCTAACGTTAGCATACAAGTTACTGTTGGCCAGAACGAATAAAAATCACTTCCTGTCTACAAGATGAACCAATATACGTCACTGATTGAAATAAAAGAGTTTAGAATTATGAGGGCCGAAATACAGAAAATACTAGATTATTTGCCATTTCTTGTTCAATAACCTACCTCGTTCTCACTCTAAAAAAGCTAACGTTAGCTAGTTTCAACCCAATAAGCAGTTATGTTTATTTGTACTAATAGCACAAACTCAGGGCGCATCGAGTTAAAGAGATTCAGAAGGGTCGTGGTATCTGGTTACGCTATTAGTACATAAAAACATTGTGCTAATTTTCGATGCGCCATAAGTTTGTGCTATTAGTACATAAAAACACTGCTAATTAATGAGAGACACGGTTGGGTAGACTATACGGAGCGATTCAAATTCAAATACTTCCGGCTTCATCCGCCATGGGGAAGTTCCCATAGGAATACGTGGATGACGTCAGCGCTACCGCTATCTCTTGGTTTTAATATCTATGGCTTCACAGCGTTGTTTCTGAAACCAGGAAGATGGGTTTGGAATCGTCGAAATGGGTTATAATATTCTTAGTTTGTTGGCTTTACAAAAGTAAGTTTACCTTTCGTTTATAATACTAGCTACATGCGTTCACTTACCTATTTATTACCGTTTTAGTTTGGCTGAGCAAGTTATCCTCTTTGTTGGGGCATTGGCTATTTCCATTGTAACTCGCAGCTAACGTTACCTAGCTTATAGACCAAGCCAAGTATATAGATTCTAGCCTGTTACAACGATGTTGCTGACAGTGAGGTCATATTTTTACCCTATTGTACTCTTCGACAAACAAAATGATGTAGCTAGTTTGTTGAAGTCGCGTATGAGATGCACTTAGATAGCTAGGTTAAACTGATAGCTACTGTAACTCGTGATCTTAAGGCAAGCGGGCGGCTATACAGGCATTACAGGCTTCAGGATGACTAGATGAAAGAACATTGGATGTGTAACAATATGGTTAGGTGTCTTGGGAATGGGAATATTTCACTACAGAAACTGGCCACTTCAATTGTATTTTTCTTTTGTCTTTCAGATGTGAGCTGTAACTCTGTTGAGCAGAAGATTTATGTGGTGCTGAATAACACTGTACCATGCGTTCGACTGCTCAATGCTACACATCAGATTGGCTGCCAGTGTGAGTGACATAACATGACACACACTGCTTGGTACAATACTGGGGGGGGGGGATTTCTTTGTAGAAGTCATTTCCGGTTACTTTTTAAAAGGACATTCTACTCCAAAATGAATTAAAATCTAATCACCATCTATCTATAATCACCCCTTCCCAGAATTGAACCCAATTTACATATTGGTAAAACAATTTTTTAGGGTTGACTATTTTACGATAGCATTTTTTACATTAAATAGGCCTAATACACCTACCGTGGCACACTTTCAAGATGCTAGAGAGCTCGACATGTGCGACTGTGTGTGTGTGTGCGTGTAAGATGGCGCTGCAGTGCATAGCAGCCGTCTTATGGGTTCCTGACCAATTCTGCTATTTTTATAAACATTTACGCTGATCTTAACTTTTTTCTACATAATGTCTCGTTGTAGAAGGAATGTGGGAGTCATTTCTGGTGACTTTAAAAAAAGGACATTCTACTTCAAATTGAATTAAAATCTAATGGATGCCAACGCCATCTATCTATAAATCGTAACTTGTACATAATGTCTCCGCCATAATTTCCTCGACCAAAAACAGCTTCTGGACATCAGAACAGCGATCATTATCTCGATTTGGACGATTTCTACTTCAACGATTCGGCAGCTCTGGATGTTCTGCTTACTCCGGACCAGGCCCTGATCCCCAGGACTCGAAAGAGGCAGTGAAAAAGAGGCAAGCGAGCCGGCCCCCTTACTAGACTACTTCTGTGAGCAAATTGCCCTCTGTTCTATTGGCAAACATGCAATCACTGGAGAACAAACTGGATGAGCTCCGTTCAAAACTATCCTATCAACGGGACATGAAAAAATTTAATATCCTATGTTTATCACAGTCGTGGCTGAACAAGGACATGGATATACATCTTGCTGGTTTTTCTATGCATCGTCTAGACCGAAGGCAGACTTGGGTAAGACAAAGGGAGGAGGAGTGTGTCTCTTTGTTAACAACAGCTGGTACGCGATCTCTAATGTTAAGGAAGTCTCAAGTTTTTGCTCACCTGAGTTAGAATACCTCATGATACAGGTTTTTTTCTGGATCAAAAGGGGGCTTAGGTGGTGGGCGTGGCAGGGGGCGCAGTCAGCCCTTCAGTGCGGCTGAATTTTAGAAAACATTTTAGAGGCCCCCATCTTCGCTGTGTAGAGAGCAAAGAGAAAAGGTTGCAGTTTTCCTGCAATTCTATGCCTTTTGCCATTTGCCATGGCTAATGCTGTGCTCTTTTGCTCAAACATAATAGCAAAATGTATACTGCTGAATTAATTGTTTTGGGATTAAAAAATTCTCCCAGATTGTGTAGCTTTTATTTTGTTGATTGTAGTTTGTTTGTGTGTGTGCAGTGCATTCAGAAAGTATTCAGACCCCTTCCCTTTTTCCACTTTGTTACGTTACATCCTGTTTCCATTGATCATCCTTGAGATATTGCTACAACTTGATTGGAATCCACCTGTGGTAAATTCAATTGATTGGACATGACTTGGAAAGGCACACACCTGTCTATATAAGGTCCCACAGTTGACAGTGAATGTCAGAGCAAAAACCAAGCTATGAGGTCGAAGGAATTGTCCGTAGAGCTCCGACACAGGATTGTGCCGAGATACAGATCTGGGGAAGGGGACCTTCAATGATGCAGACATTTTTGGTACCCAAGAACACAGTGGCCTCCGGCCAAACTGAGCAATCGGGGGAGAAGGGCCTTAGTCAGGGAGGTGACCAAGAACCCGATGGTCACTCTGACAGAGCTCCGGAGTTCCTCTGTGGAGATGGGAGAACCTTCCAGATGGACAACCATCTCTGCAGCACTCCAACAATCAGGGCTTTATGGTAGGGTGGCCAGACGGAAGCCACTCCTCAGTAAAAGGCACATGACAGCCCGCTTGGAGTTTGCCAAAAACTTCTTAAGTGCCTTTTGAAGCTGGTTCAGAGAATGCCAAGAGTGTGCAAAGCTGTCATCAAGGCAAAGGGTGGCTACTTCGAAGAATCTCAAATATGAAATATATTTTGATTTGTTTAACACTTTTTTCGGTTATTGTGTTATTTCATAGTTTTAATGTCTTCACTATTATTCTACAATGTAGAAAATAGTAAAAAAAATAAAGAAACCCTGGAATGAGTAGGTGTCCAAACTTTTGACTGGTACTGTAGGTCAATTATATTTTCTACAAACTTTCTGACTGTTTCTAGTCTTAGGTTTACACTGAAACCGTTTTTCCATGCCGAAAATGTATTACAAATGGTGTGGCGGCAACAATTTAGCAGCAGGGGAAACACTGACTGTGATTTGTATCCAAGCTGTACTTTTTGTAATGCTGGAATACAGATTGAAGATTTGCATACTAAGACAAGCGTTTTTTCTATCCTGTGTGTCAGCCTCGATATCAGGTGATACAGGTGTGATCCATTTCTTGGAGTCTGAGGCAGATCTGGAATGGCCTTTGAGCAAAGGACCCAATCCTCCTTATATGGTTGTGTTGGAATCATCCCTCTTCACCAGGTAGGCTACACACAGCCACATTTTTGACCTCCAGAACAAAGTTGGAACACACTCACTGTGACTATCGTTCATCACAGCCGGACAATGATATGATCCATATCCTAGTAGCCCCGTCACGCTCAAGGATTGTCTTCTCTCTACAGGTCTATCATGATGAAGATGAAGAATGAATCCAGCAGGGTAGCTGGGGTTGCAGTGGTGATCCCAAATACTAGCCCACCAGAGTTCTCGCCACACACAACATGTCCCAATGAGAACACAGGTAGGTTGATCAGACATTTGGACTCCAGTCCGTCAAAATGACTATATGATCTTTGCTAACTTAAACGTCATTTGGTTTACTTTTTCCTCAGGCGTATACTCCGACAACTATGGTCCTAATTTGGCACATTGTAACAGTACTGTATGGAACCCTCTGGGGAACGGTCTATCCTATGAGGAATTTGACTTCCCTGTCTTCTCCCTGAACGAAGACAATGAAACAGAGTTAATCAAACAGGTGAGGGGTCACTTCAAGCAGTCACAACCCAGTCAGGGTTAATGTCATGTCACTTCATGACCATGAACTGTCTTTATCTGAATTATCTTATTATGCTACAGTATTTCTGTGTATTGAAACTGGACCCTTCATTCTGATAAATGTATCTACCCTACTTGCAGTGCTACTTTGACCATAATCGTGCGGTGAATGGCAGTGCCCCACAGTACCCTCTGTGTGCCATGCAGCTCTTCTCCCACATGCACGCTGTCACCAATACTCCAACCTGCATGAGACGCAACAACATCAACTATAGCATCAACCCAGGTACACAAACAGCCACTGTCGTAAGCATAGATACATTATTGTTAGGGCCATGCTTTTTAGGCACTTTGCTTTTACCAGTATTTCCAGTATTATCCACTAAGTTTGCTGCAGGTAGAAAATCCTAGGAAATGTTCTTTAATTTTCTTCAATCAATCAAGCAATGTCTGGTTGTGCTTTTGTGTTTGGTGGGGGGATCGCCTAAAGGAGTCAGCATGCTCCAGTTCGGCTGGCGCCTAGCCGAACTCGGCAAGGCGAACTGAACAAGTGTGCTCGCATACTCCCTTAAAATACCTTCTCTTGAAAAAAACGAGAAAAAAGCGGCAATAGTACGGTTTGTCCATTTTGAGACGCCGTAGCCAGTATACACTTTCTCAAAATATAAATTTGGACGTTTTTGCCGAGATCTTAGTCGCACAATTTTACATCTAACTAACATGCTGACTAGACTTGGTATGCGCGTGCACCATCGCGCGCATTTTGATTTTGTCCATCCACACCAGACGCGATCAGGACACACAGGTTGAAATATCAAAACGAATTCTGAACCAACTATATTAAGATGGGGACAGGTCAAAACGCATAAAATATTAATGGCTAGCTAGCTACTTGCTGTTGCTAGCTAATTTGTCCTGGGATATAAACATTGGGTTGTTATTTTACCTGAAATGCATAAGGTCCTCTACTCCGACAATGAATCCACAAATAAAAGGGTAAACCTAGTTAGTTTCTAGTAATCTCTCCTCCTTCAGTTTTCTTCTTTGGACTTTATATGGCAGTTGGCAACCAACTTTAAGGTGCAGTACCACCACCAACTGGACTGGAGTGTGGACCTCAGTTCATCTTTCAATCACCCACATGGGTATATGCTCCTAAAAACCAATGAGGAGATGAGCCCCGTGTAGCTCAGTTGGTAGAGCATGGCGCTTGCAACGCCAGGGTTGTGGGTTCGATTCCCACGGGGGGGCCAGTATGAAAAAAAATGATAAGAGCGTCTGCTAAATGACAAAAAAATGAGAGAGGCGGGACTTGCAGCGCGTCAAGCGTAAAAAATAGAACCAAGTTCTATTTTAGCGCCTGGCTATGCAGATGCTCGTTGACGCACGTGAGCAGTTTGGATAAAATTATTGAATAACATGTATGTGTAAATATATTTTGCAACGCTCGCGCACGTAACGCGAGTGGTGTGGTCAGCATGTAAGCTGTTTGGTGCATAATTTGCATGAAAACGAGTCGTCTCTCGATGAATGACAACAGACTTTACTGAAGAATCCCTACTCTTGATCAATCATAGACGACGGGGCGTAGACTTCGGCTACCGACTTCTGCTTGCCTCAAGAAAAAATGGTGTGCCCGAACTGCCGATGTCCAAAACGAACAAAATCATCACAACATATACACAAACTCTTCCGAACTGTTTTGGCTGGGAAGCATGGAGATGTCTTAAGCCAAGGAAGGCGTAGCGCTGCGAATCTTGAATTGTCAAAGTGAGGTTAAGAATCACTGATCTACAAATAGTATTCCCTGCCAAATAATAGGCTTTGTGCGATTTAAGATCCGCAGAGCTACACCTCGCCTGGCTTAAGCGATCCCCCGCACCAAACACACACGTACAACCAGACATTGATTGATTGGAGACGGCTTGTGTCAATTAAATAAATGTATGTAAATGTAAGCCATGGAAGGCGTATCTCTGCGAATCGTAATCGCACAAAGCCTATTTGGCTTTGTGGCTAGGTTTGCAGCAGACTTTCTACCTGCTGCAAACCTAGTAGATAATACTGGAAATACTGGTAAAATCAAAGTGGAAAAAAACCATGGCCCTAATTATTGTGTATATGTGAATAGTTAGTATACACATTCAGTCATGTACACTGAGTGTACAAAACTGTGCTCTTTCCATGACATAGACTGACCAGGTGAAAGCTATGATCCCTTATTGATGTCACCTGTTAAATCCACTCCAATCAGTGTAGATGAAGGGGAGGAGACATGTTAAATAAGTATTTTTAAGCCTTGAGATAATTGAGACATGGATTATGTATGTGTGCCATTCAGCGGGTGAATGGGCAAGACAAAAGATTGAAGTGCCTTTGAACTGGGTGTGTCAAGAACTGCAACGCTGCTGGGTTTTTCACGCGCAACAGTTTCCCGTGTGTACCAAGAATGGTCCACCACACAAAGGATATCCAGCCAACTTGACACAACTATGGGAAGCATTGGAGTCAACATGGGCCAGCATCCCTGTGGAACGCTTTCGACATATTGTAATCCATGCCCAGAAGAATTGAGACTGAGGGCAAAACGGGTGTAACTCAATATTAGGAAGATGTTCCTAATGTTTTGTACACTCAGTGTATATCTCACACACATATCTACCTCTCTCACAGAGATGGTGTGTGACCCTCTGAGTGATAATAATGTTTGGGGTTCCATCCGGCCCTATAACGACACAGTCTTCGGCCACAAGGAGAACGAGAGCGTTGTTATAGCAGCAGCCAGGGTGAGTGACACAAAGAATGCCTGCCTCCCTCTTCCACATCTTGTCACATGTTCACATATGTCTAATGCTGCGTTCATAACCAAGTGGGAAGGTGGTAATTACCAGTTGGATGCTTTGAACTCGTTGAGAAACACCAATTGGCTAATGGCCAACATGCTGCATCAACCATAAACTAAAAGTACAGCTACAGTGGGGAGAACAAGTATTTGATACACTGCCGATTTTGCAGGTTTTCCTACTTACAAAGCATGTCGAGGTCTGTAATTTTTATCATAGGTACACTTCAACTGTGAGAGACGGAATCTAAAACAAAAATCCAGAAAATCACATTGTATGATTTTTAAGTAATTAATTTGCATTTTATTGCATGACATAAGTATTTGATACATCAGAAAAGCAGAACTTAATTTGGTACAGAAACCTTTGTTTGCAATATCAGAGATCATACGTTTCCTGTAGGTCTTGACCAGGTTTGCACACACTGCAGCAGGGATTTTGGCCCACTCCTCCATACAGACCTTCTCCAGATCCTTCAGGTTTCGGGGCTGTCGCTGGGCAATACGGACTTGCAGTTCCCTCCAAAGATTTTCTATTGGGTTCAGGTCTGGAGACTGGCTAGGCCACTCCAGGATCTTGAGATGCTTCTTACGGAGCCACTCCTTAGTTGCCCTGGCTGTGTGTTTCGGGTCGTTGTCATGCTGGAAGACCCAGCCACGACCCATCTTCAATGCTCTTACTGAGGGAAGGAGGTTGATGGCCAAGATCTCGCGATACATGGGCCCCATCCATCCTCCCCTCAATACGGTGCAGTCGTCCTGTCCCCTTTGCAGAAAAGCATCCCCAAAGAATGATGTTTCCACCTCCATGCTTCACGGTTGGGATAGTGTTCTTGGGGTTGTACTCATCCTTCTTCTTCCTCCAAACACGGCGAGTGGAGTTTATCCCAAAAAGCTCTATTTTTGTCTCATCAGACCACATGACATTCTCCCATTCATTTACATTTTAGTCATTCCTCTGGATCATCCAGATGGTCATTGGCAAACTTCAGACGGGCCTGGACATGCGCTGGCTTGAGCAGGGGGACCTTGCGTGCGCTGCAGGATTTTAATCCATGACGGCGTAGTGTGTTACTAATGGTTTTCTTTGAGACTGTGGTCCCAGCTCTCTTCAGGTCATTGACCAGGTCCTGCCGTGTAGTTCTGGGCTGATCCCTCACCTTCCTCGTGATCATTGATGCCCCACGAGGTGAGATCTTGCATGGAGCCCCAGACCGAGGGTGATTGACCGTAATAATAATAATATAATATGCCATTTAGCAGACGCTTTTATCCAAAGCGACTTACAGTCATGCGTGCATACATTTTTGTGTATGGGTGGTCCCGGGGATCGAACCCACTACCTTGGCGTTACAAGCGCCGTGCTCTACCAGCTGAGCTACAGAGGACCACATCTTGAACTCTTCCATTTTCTAATAATTGCGCCAACAGTTGTTGCCTTCTCACCAAGCTGCTTGCCTATTGCCCTGTAGCCCATCCCAGCCTTGTGCAGGTCTACAATTTTATCCCTGATGTCCTTACACAGCTCTCTGGTCTTGGCCATTGTGGAGAGGTTGGAGTCTGTTTGATTGAGTGTGTGGACAGGTGTCTTTAAAACAGGTAACGAGTTCAAACAGGTGCAGTTAATACAGGTAATGAGTGGAGAACAGGAGGGCTTCTTAAAGAAAAACTAACAGGTCTGTGAGTGCCGGAACTCTTACTGGTTGGTAGGTGATCAAATACTTATGTCATGCAATAAAATGCAAATTAATTACTTAAAAATCATACAATGTGATTTTCTGGATTTTTGTTTTAGATTCCGTCTCACAGTTGAAGTGTACCTATGATAAAAATTACAGACCACTACGTGCTTTGTAAGTAGGAAAACCTGCAAAATCGGCAGTGTATCAAATACTTGTTCTCCCCACTGTATCATGCTTGTAAACAAATGATGGCGTTCAAAACCCATGTGAATAGATTTGCTTTTTATAAATAATGTTTTGTTACATTTAACTGCTGAAAATTCTGTTATCAAGGTCATTTCCTTAGTAGGTGACGTCAAAGGTCAGCATGTGGGAGAAGACGGAGCTCAGGGATGATGGACGAGTTTCCCACTAGTAATTACGAGTTGGAGGGGCGTTCAAGTGGATTCTTCCCAGTCGTATGCGTTAAATACCACCTTCCCACTTGGTTATGAACGCAGCATAAGCCTTTTGGAATTTATGCAAAACAGTATACAAGATGAGCCACATTCTTGTGTGTGGTATACACATCTTGATTTAATGAGCTTAAAAAGTGCTTTGGTAATTTGCTCAGTACCATTTCCTTCCTATACAATCCTTACATCGTTTTTCCTTGTTGACTGGACACCTTGCACTCTCTGCATTTTTGTAGCTGGACAGCAGGGCATTTTTCTGGGAGGTTTCAACTGGAGCAGAGGGAAGTATCTCAGGGTTTGTCACTCTGCTTGCTGCTGCCCAGGCACTGCGTGAAGTCACTCACGAGGCCCCTCCCACACGGAATATCCTCTTTGCCTTCTTCCAAGGGGTGAGTTCCTTCTCTCCCTAAGCAAGTCGTCTAGTATGTGTCAATTATGGTACATGAGTCCCATGTGGTCACTATCATATAGCAGTATTGTTTAGTGTTGTACTATATGAGCAAGGATGTTGATAGCTTATTCCTCTCTTTCAGGAAGCCTTTGACTACATTGGCAGCTCTCGGATGGTTTACGACATGGAGAAGGGCAAATTTGTGATAGACCTGGACAATGTTCACTCAATACTAGAGATTGGTCAGGTAAGGACTTGCGTATACAGTCTCATTGAATACTCAAACACACACAGGCATCATTTTGCAAAACACATGGATATACAATCAACCAATAAAGAGTGATGGATCTTTTGTTATTTGTAAGGTGGCCGTGCACAGTGGCACCAACCTCTTTCTCCACTCAGACCCTGTGTCCAGGAGGAACAACACCGTCAATGACGAGGTGAGGGAGTTACATGTTTCTCTTTGTGCCTCTTACCTGGGCCACCCCTTTTTTCTATACTCTTTATACTTTCTCTCAACCCACGTTTCCCAACCTCTTACTCTGTTTCAGATTACGAATCTTGTGAAGAACTTACAGTCCTCCACGGCTGGGCTCAGCTTCTTATTGGTTGAGCCTGGTGTGTCTCAGCCACTCCCGCCCTCCTCCCTCCAGCGTTTCCTGCGAGCTCGGCCAATCCCAGGGATTGTGATTGCAGACCACAAATCTGCGTTCAACAACAGGTGAGTCAGTGTTTGACTATGGTCTGTCGTTGCTGTTAATTTTTATTATGGCAATATTAAACTTGCCTGATATGGATTTCTTCATTAGTAGTGAGGAGTGTTCTGTCCTGTTTGCCCATGCACAGGTACTATGAGAGTTTTTACGACAACGCTGCTAACCTGAACCTGACTTATCCATCTAACTTGAGTCCAGAGGAACAGCTGGAGTTTGTGACTGATACTGCAAAGGTATTCTTACCATAGCAATCCCACTGATCCACCCATTGCAGTAGGTACAGTTGCCTTTACATCGTGACCCACTGTTACAATAATATATTCCTCCTTCCTCCCTCACTGTACTCTTTCAGTCTCTTACTGATGTGGCTACGTTGGTTGCACGTGCTCTCTACAAGCAGGCCGGGGGAGACGAGTCCAAAGTCAACACCATCAAGGCAGACCCCAAAATAGTGAGACTCGATGAATGATGACCTGTTCAGCTGTTGTACATGTCATACTGATATAGTCTGTTATTTTCCATGACTGTCTGTCAATATTTCTGTTAACATCAGTCACTTGTTCATTCTAAGCATCTAACATCTTTTCAAATTGAAGTTTTTGGGACAGAAACAGAATTGTTTGACCAAACACTGCATCTCTCTCTCAGGTTACCCAGATGCTGTATGGGTTTCTGGTTAGTTCCAACAACAGCTGGTTTCAGGCAATGATGTCCCCAGACCTACAGGACATTCTCAGTGAGTTTTAGTCTGATACTTTCTCACTAGGAAACACCCTTTGACCCTACAGAGGCAGTCTGCTACTACCAACGTCGTAAACACACAGGCAGATATGGAGCATGCGTACATGTTTACTAGTCACAGACACACTCGCATCCATAAAGAAGGTACTGGGGTACTTGGGTCTTCATTGCTTTGTGTTTTTCTGTCTCCTAGAGCCCAGCCCACCACAGTACTATGTTGGTGTTGCCATGTCTTCCACTCCGACACGTCTGGTCCAGTACCTCCTGGCCAATTTTACTGGAGCAGCCACCAACCTCACCCAGAGTCAGTGCCAGAAGCCAGATGAGCTGCCAAACGAGAGCAGACAGGTAGGTGTGCCACTGGATCTGTCTGTCTGTGTGCAGATGGATAGATGTACAGCGTATCACTGTTGACATCGGAATAAAAATTGCTTATTTGTACACTGGTGCTGGAATCCCACCACACTCTAATTCACTGTTTCTCTCTCAGATGTACTCCTATCTCTGGGTTCAGGGCATTGTCCCACCCAACAGCACCCAGAGAGATTCCTTCTGCGTACGTGCATCGGTACGCCTGACCAGAGCAATATCCCCTGCCTTCGAGCTGGGAGAGTATGCTTCCAAAGACTACTCCACGTGGACAGAATCACGGTGGAAGTTCATCAAAGCTAGAATTTTCCTAGTAGCCAGCCGGGACCTGGAGGTAAAACTGCAGTCAACTTACCTACCATGATCCATATCTGTTTAATCAATTACAGTTGTGTTGCTTAGGTTCAAGTGATTCTGTTTGAACCAACTATCATGTTTAGGTAGTGAAAGTGTCAAATGCATTGACAAGTACAAGCATGTTTTTTTCTCACAGTATTCACCTTTCTTCTTAATTTGTCTCTCATAGATGCTGACCTTAGGCGTGGGAGTGGCTGTGTTGTTCACATTCCTACTGCTGACATACTTTGTCAGCTCCAAGGCAGACGTCCTCTTCAGTTCCGCGAGGGAACCCGCTAGCGCCGCCTACTGATTACCTCCAGGCGTTTTAACCTGTGACCAGCGACCACTACTCTCCCAACCAAACAGGAACAGACAGCGTTGTTTTTTTTTTGTTTTTTTTACACACGATATTGTAGACCGACAGACAGACAAAGAGGTTAGGCAGAATAGATTGTTTTATCTGTGTGAGCCTGATGGACTCACACAGATGAGGTTTAACACATAACTGGAATTGACTGGCCCGGATGGATCCGGACTCATCAGGGTCAGATTGCACTGGTCTGTGCCAGTGTAAAAGATGTTCATATTCATTTTTTTTGTTCAGTCAAATCATGTTTTGTTTACTGTATCATGGAAGTAGGCACTAGGCTTTGTTTGACTGTGTGTGCTTGCGTGCATGCGTGTGTGTAAATGGGAGGTGCTTGCGAGCGTGTGCAAGTGTGTATGTTGAGGATGCAGTTGTAGTATGTGTAGTAGCTTTCTTTTCTCTGTCTGTAGTATACTGATCTGTCATTTCTAGGGAGAATGAAACCTTACTTCTGGCAAATAGACTTTGGATGTGGGTTTAGCTGAATGACCACTACAGCTGCGTTCACACAGGCATCCCAATTCTTATTTTTAACACTAATTGGCCTTTTGACCAATTACATCAGATCTTTCCACATCAGATCTTTTTCAGAGCTAATCTGATTGGTCAAAAGACGAATTAGTGAAAAAACGATCAGAATTGGGCTGCCTGTCTAAATGCAGCCTAATATGCATTAAAATGTGTATATCAAAATAGTGTTATTTTGTTTGCAGTCTTTAAAAATCGACATTATTTTAAATCTAGAAATAATTTGCAGGATCATGCCCAGAGGTTTTTATGTGTTGATGGAAATGTCAAATGATACGGGGTGTGTTTGTAAGTGAAGGTGATCTCTGACCAACTGGGGAATAATTGTGATTAATGCCTTGATAACTAAATAAACATGGCTTTTCCAATCCTCTAGTGTTGCTTCTCTACTATTTCTATTATTGCAAAATTCTGGGAACTATCAATAAATTCCCTAGTTTTCCAGATTTCCTGCCTATTCCCTCCTGGTTGCAAGAATCCACCAACCAGGAATTTGGGAAAATTAGGGAATTTATTGCATGTTCCTGGAATTTTTCAACCCTAGCTACAGTTGAGGATTACTGTTCTCCTAGCAGCAGGATATTATGCTGGCAGCACGACCACAGATTTTTACAAAAAATTCAAATTAAGAGTCTCCTGCAAATACAGTGAGGGGAATAATAACAACAAAAAAATCCAGAAAAACGCATGTCAAAAATGTTATAAATTGATTTGCATTTTAATGAGGGAAATAAGTATTTGACCCCCTCTCAATCAGAAAGATTTCTGGCTCCCAGGTGTCTTTTATACAGGTAACGGGCTGAGATAAGGAGCACACTCTTAAAGGGAGTGCTGCTAATCTCAGTTTGTTACCTGTATAAAAGACACCTGTCCACAGAAGCAATCAATCAGATTCCAAACTCTCCACCATGGCCAAGACCAAAGAGCTCTCCAAGGATGTCAGGGACAAGATTGTAGACCTACACAAGGCTGGAATGGGCTACAAGACCATCGCCAAGCAGCTTGGTGAGAAGGTGACAACAGTTGGTGCGATTATTCGCAAATGGAAGAAACACAAAATAACTGTCAATCACAGTTCTGGGTGACTTTAACCTCCCTACGTCTGCCTTTGACTCATTTCTCTCTGCCTCCTTCTTTCTACTCCTTTCCTCTTTTGACCTCACCCTCTCACCACCCCCCCCCCCCCTACTCACAAGGCAGGCAATACGCTTGACCTCATCTTTACTAGATGCTGTTCTTCTACTAATCTCACTGCAACTCCCCTCCAAGTCTCCGACCACTACTTTGTATCCTTTTCTCTCTCGCTCTCCTCCAACAGTACTCACTCTGCCCCTACTCAGATGGTAATGTGCCGTCGCAACCTTCGCTCTCTCTCTCCCGCTACTTTCAACTCTTCCATCCTATCATCTCTTCCCTCTGCTAAATCCTTCTCCCTCCGATCTCCTGATTCTGCCTCCTCAACCCTCCTCTCCTCCCTTTCTGCATCGTTTGACTCTCTATGTCCCCTATCCTCCCGGCCGGCTCGGTCCTCCCCTCCTGCTCCGTGGCTTGACGACTCATTGCGAGCTCACAGAAGAGGGCTCCGGGCAGCCGAGCGGAAATGGAGGAAAACTAGACTCCCTGCGGACCTGTCATCTTTTCACTCCCTCCTCTCTACATTCTCTTCCTCTGTTTCCGCTGCTAAAGCCACTTTCTACCACTCTAAATGTCAAGCCTCTGCCTCTAACCCTAGGAAGCTCTTTGTCACCTTCTCCTCCCTACTGAATCCTCCTCCCTCTCTGTGGATGACTTCATCAACCATTTTGAAAAGAAGATTGATGACATCCTGTCCTCATTTATTAAGTCAAATGACACCGCTGGTCCTGCTCACACTGCCCTAGCTTTGACTTCTTTCTCCCCTCTCTCTCCAGATGAAATCTTGCGATTTGTGACGGCCGGCCGCCCAACAACCTGCCCGCTTGACCCTATCCCCTCCTCTCGTCTCCAGACCATTTCCGGAGACCTTCTCCCTTACCTCACCACGCTCATCAACTCATCCTTGACCGCTGGCCATGTCCCTTCTGTCTTCAAGAGAGCGAGAGTTGCACCCCTCCTCAAGAAACCTACACTCGATCCCTCCGATGTCAACAACTACAGACCAGTATCCCCGCTGGAGGAACAGCGACTACAAAACGTCCACCTCGTGGAGGAAGTCAGGAAGCTGCAAGGAGGAGCGTCTCCTGAATCCCATCCCAACCCGTTTTTAATCAAGCTAACAGGATGACGTTTAAACGGACAGCGCTACGGGAAAGATGGCCAAGGCCGAAGTGGGCAAGTCTGCTTGCCCCGTTCCTCTCTGGGAATGCCCAAAAGGCGTATTGGGACCTGAACGACGAACAGGCGGCTAACTACAACGGACTCAAACGGGAGATACTCAGCAGCTACGGGTACAGCCTGGCCCATCGGGCTCAACGGTTCCACGACTAGAGGTTCGTACCCGACGCATCCCCCCGAGCCCAGATGAGCGACCTTCTGCGCGTCACAAGGGCATGGCTCCTAACTGACATATCCACCCTCTCCCTCCTCGAGAAAGTGGTCCTGGATCGCTTTGTACAGGCGCTACCCCACGACATGAAGAGTGCAGCGAGCCTGTGCGCACCCCAGACCTTGGGGGGCCTCCTGGAAGCAGTGGAGACGCATCAGAACACTCAGGCCCTACTGAAGGGGAGCCGGGACGAGTCGGCGACCTGTGCGAGGGGACGGAAGGACAACCCCACCACGGTGTACCCCGAACCGACAGTCGGCAGGGCCAAGGGACCACAAACCTGTGGAGAGACGGCTGGGGAAGGGCCGACCTGCCACCGGCGACCCCAGGTAGATGGAGACCAACGGAGGTGTTTTGAGTGTGGCACCCGGGGGCACATTGCCTGGAATTGCCCTGCTTGAGAGGAGTCGATGCCATCAGCTAGCACCGGAGGCCAGGTGGGTCACGCCGTGAAGTATGTCACCTCCTGTTGGGCGCACCGTGAATCAACGGCACCCATGGTCCCGGTGAATGTTGACGGACACGACACGGAAGCCCTATTAGACTCCGGAAGCATGGTTACGCTCGTAACCACGAGCCTGCTGAACCAGGAGACCGAACGGGGGAGGGAGATGTCCATTTCCTGCGTTCACGGTGACACAAAGCGGTATCCCGCCATATGGACCAACATCGTGACACCACAAGGGAGCTGCCAGATGATCGTGGGTGCACTACCAGAGCTTCCGGTACCCATCCTAGTGGGACGGGATTGTCCGCTGTTCGTGGCCCTATGGTGGCACGAGTAGAAAAAAAAGATAAGAGCCGGCCGAAGAAGAGAGCGGGGACGACCACTCGCCTGTGCGGCCAGGATGCCACCGGTTAACCCACCTGACTCTACAGGTCCGGAGGCGGAGGGGGAGCCGGAACCCGAACCTCCTGGGGAACCACTGGAGGAGGAGCCCAGCCTCCCCCTTCTCGATTTCGAGGGGCCAGTCGAGACCCCGTTGGGGGCCAACTGAGGGGACAATTCGGGACGGCCCAGTGGGAGGATCCGAATTGCAGCCCAAGTAATAGCGGTGGATGGACAGCTACTTCCGGGGTTGAGTGACTGGCGATACCCCCATTTCCAAATTAAGAATAACCTTTTGGTATCAGGTGTCGCGCAAACAGGGGGAACTTCGAGAGGTATTGTTGCTGCCCCGACGGTACGTAGGAACCGTTCTTCAGCTGGCCCACACCCACCTGTTGGGGGCGCACCTGGGAATGGAGAAGATCCGGGAACGGGTCGCCGCCCGGTTCCACTGGCCCGGGATGAGAAGGACCGTGGAAGACTACTGTCGCAGCTTCCCGGAGTGTCAACTCACTGCCCCAAAAGCACACTTCCGAAACCCTCTGGTCCCCCTCCCGATCATCGGGGTGCCCTTTGAACGCATCGCCATGGACATAGTGGGACCCCTGGTAAAGACTGCACGAGGACACAGGTACATCTCGGTAATAGTAGACTATGCCACCCGGTATCCCGAGGCCATTCCCCTACGGGCGGCGGTATCCAAGGGAATCGCCCGGGAGCTGTTCCACCTCTTTAGCCGGGTGGGCATCCCGAACGAGACAGACCAAGGTACAGAGTTTATGTCCCGCCTCATGAAAGAGTTGTGTGCCCTCCTGCAGATCAAGCAGATCCGGCCCTCCGTTTTTCACCCGCAGACGGATGGGCTCGTCGAGCGCTTTAACAAAACGCTCATACAGATGCTGCGGAAGGTCATCGAGCAGGACGGGAAGAACTGGGACCAGGTATTACCCCACCTAATGTTCTCAATCTGAGAAGTACCCCAATCCTCCACTGGGTTTTCCCCGTTTTAACTCCTCTACGGGAGGAGGCCACGTGGCCTACTGGACCTCGCCAAGGAGGTGTGGGAAGCCCAACCGACCCCCTTACGCAGCGTGGTAGAGCACGTGGAGACGATGCGGGAGCGGATGACAGCCATATGGCCAGTCGTGAGGGAACATATGGAGAAGGCCCAACGCACCCAAGCCCAGGTCTACAATTGGGGAGCCCAGCCCCGAGAATTCCAGGTGGGAGACTTGGGGTTGATCCCCACGGCCGAAAGTAAGTTCCTGGCCACATGGCACGGACCATACGAGGTGGTCGAGAAACTGGGACCTGTCAACTACCGCGTACGGCAACCGGGGAGACGGAAACCTCAGATTTACCACGTGAACCTGTTGAAGAACTGGCACGAGAGGACAGCCTTGGCCATGTTATGGTCGGGACTCCGGACGCCAACGGTACCAGTGGTGGTCCCGAGCAGTGAGGACCTCGACCCGGCCCAGAAGCAAGAGCTCCGGGAGCTTGTCGATCGGAACACAGCGGTGTTCTACGAGAAGCTGGACCGCACGACCCTCATTGAACACCACATCCGTACCCGGCCCAGGGGAAACGGTAAGAAAGAGGCCGTATCGAATTCCGGAGTCCCGACGGAAGGCCGTTAAACAAGAAGTGGAGGCTATGCTGCGGATGGGGGTCATTGAAGAGTCCCACAGTGCATGGTGCAGCCCC